TCAAATATCACATATCCTACTAGCCCTAGGGCTACATACATCACATAAGTCATGCATACAACCGATAAGGATGTCGTGGGATCGTCCCCAGGGTCTTACTCCAGGATGCCATGGGTTCTCCGCATGGTCTTACACCTAAGTGCCATGGGCTCTCCCATGGTCTTTGATAGGAAAGCCATGGGCTCTCCACATGGTCTTATATCCAAGTGACATGGGCTCTCCCATGGTCTTCCATACAATATACCACATATATCAAAGCATACTTCCTAGTTCATACCAACTAACATGTATCAGAATACAATCTCAACTAGGATACTACACATCATAAAATGGGCCATCCTTGGTGCCTTATACCCATTGGTATGGTGAGGAGACCCACCTCTGTCTGCTGAATACAAAGTTGTTCTCCTAACGGTCCGTAACCTTCCGTGCTGAATAATAATATTAAACAATGTTAGGACTTTAATTAATCAAAGGAAACCCAAACTCCAAACCCTTCCATAAGGTCCAATTATCCATCCCTTGCTAATTGGCCCAAAGTCCAAGTCCAAAATCCTTAATAGGCCTCTTGGCCCAATAAGGCCCAATCAATATGTACATGGCCCATAACCGATGATATGACTCATAATTCCCAGAAAACAACCATGCCCAATAATCAAATGAGGCCCAATAGCTCCAAGGCCCAAAACAGATTCGGCCTAACTGTGATGCGCACGCTCGACGTAGCATCTTGGTACGCGCAGCGTATTGGGGTCTTGGGACTACGCGCGGCGTACACTGGGTTACACCCAACGTACAACCAGTTCAAGCACTTTCTCCATTAAGTGCTTAATACTCGTTTCCTTTATGTCCAAAAGCCAGATCTAAGTTTGTTAAGACGTCCTAAGGCATAAAGTTGGCAACTTTATGCCTTTGCATGCCTCATAAACACCCAACACTTCTATTAAGACCTTTCCAAGGTCTTTAACCCATGCATGAGGCCAAAACTCCCATCAAGACTCAATTTTTATGGTTCTAAAGGACCAAGGGACCTCAAATCTGTCATTCCCATCTTTTGGAGTTGCTTAGCTCACAAGAGGAGGTCCAAAACCAACCAAAGGGACAAAACTAGAAAACCCTAGCTAGATCTATTGATTTAAATGGAAAGGTGCAAGCTTTATACCTCCAGAAGCTCCTCAAGGTCGACAATATGCAGGTTCTTGAAGCCAAATGACACTACAAGCTTCCTTGCCAACTTCTTCTTCTTGGATGAACACAAAAAGGACCAAAAATGCACTCTTGAAGCTCAAAATGCACTCACAAATGATATTAGGGTTTTCAGAGGCGTTTGAAGGTGAAGGAGGCTGTTATGGGTGAGGCTCAAAAGAGTTAAGGGTGTTTATATAGGTCTCAAGTCCGAATTTTAGGGTTTAAACATCCTGGCACGTACGCCCAACGTACGTGCTGCCTCTCCGCGATCCTCCTTGCCAAGTACGCTAAGTGTACTCATAAGTACGCCCAGCGTACTTAAAGGTCTCTTATGATATAATAGAAGTACTTCAAGGGTTACAAGGTCATACCTGATTTGGAGTGTTACAATAAGTGGTCACCGTAATTTCTCATAATATCAATTTTGGTTTCTAATTTTTTCAATTTTGGTTTTTTTTATCTTTAAGGATGGTCCTTGTGGTTTAAAAACTTTTCATATATATTCATTATAGATAACACCGTCTTTTTTGGAAAACAACGGGGAACGTTTATGGTGGCCTACTGAAGATGATCATTGTAAGAGAAAGAGAATGAGAGGTGGGGATGGGGATGGGGTAGGGGTAGGGGTATATTATATTTTTTTCTTTTTTAATTGTTGCAATAAAAAATAGAAAAATAAAATAAAAAGGGTAAAGAAGTCATTTTATATGATTCCGAGACCAACCACGATAAAAATTGAAACCATAAGGATCTTTCATGAGGCCAAAAAAAAAGTTAGAGACTAAATTTGATATTTTGTAAAACAATATGGACCATTTATGAACATTTGTTCTTTATTTATTTAAAACTTCATGAATGGTTCATTGGTTTGTAAAAAACGATTTTTCTCTCATATACCATGCACGTGTTTTGATTTAACGGACCAAAATAGAAGTGTTAGCCATATGGACTATCTATGAAAAGTTTTAAACCACATGGACCATCCTTGAAGACAAAAAAGTTAGAGACTAAAATTGATATTTTGGGAAACCGTAAAGACAATTTATGAAGAGTTATCTTACATCAACTCATGTTTTCCACATAAAACAAAAATCTACTGGAAAAATAAATATTCACAAACTTTTACATGACCAAATAATAATAAAATATGCAAATAGACCTCACGAACAATATAAAACATGAGGGTTACAACAGCACTCTTATTCATTTGTGAAAATCAAATTCAATGAAATGATATTCCTGATCATTTGAACTCCGGTGGCTTCAAAAACAAAATACATCTTACAGTCATGTAGATCACATTCCTTACTTTTGTAACTTTTTAGTCGGATCATACTTCATCTTAAGGTTTAGGCAAAGAGCTCATCAAACTTTTGTAACCGGATTGGCACCATGTTGATATGATAGGCGGAAAGATTCTCTCCTAATCCCCAAATGTTGAATTTGTATGAGGAGAATCCGGTATATCCTATATCTTAAGAATTACATCCGCTTTATAAGGTGTTCTTGTAGGATTGAATACAAAACGATAATTCATTTTCTCATTTTACTAAAGTTGATTTTTCACAAATGAATCATAGAGTATTGTAACCCTTATGTATTATATAGTTCGTGGTGAGCAAAAAATCCATTAAAATTGCTTCCAGTGTATTATGTTATAGATATGGTAAGAGACTTTTCCTCTTTAGGTATTGAGATGAGAAAGTTTACAAAAGCTAAATATATAAGTACTTACAAAAATGTTAATCGAAACCTCGTCTTTTGTCACCGAGATAATTTTCATAGTTTTGGATTGTAAAAAACGAGGTAGAATTTTTGTTAGGGTTAAAATATAATGGACAAATAGGCCACGAAACCGTAGACGAACCATGATTATGTAGCCCACTTGATGAAACCACAATAGTGTTAGCCTTATTTGTGTTTGGGTGGTTATTTTTGAAAAAAAAACTTAATCTTTGGCTAATTTGTGGAAAATTTTAAGAAAAGTGGCTATATTTGTCATTTTTCATTTTTTTATTTTACGACCTTATTGCTTTTAGATGTAATTTTTTCTGCAACTATTACGTCTAAAACCTATAAGATAGTGACCATCTTTGCAACTTGTAAAATACTTATTCTAATAAAAGAATAGTTTTATTCTCTTTTTGACATGTGTCATCATATTAGGCCTTATAATTAATGCATATATTTTGTTTTTGCCATGTGGCACTCTATTATGTCTCGTAATTAATGCATGTCACTTGTCAACTTATTGATTCTCCATTTCAAATTTTAAATTTTAAATTTCCCACTCTAATTACATTAAATTGATAACATTAGAATAAAAATTAAAATAAAATTAACACAAATTATAAAGTGATATATTTTTACATATTTACTTAAATCAATGATTATAATTTTATATAACTAAAAAATCTCTTAATTAATAATTTATTTAAAATAAGTGATTAATAATTTTAAGTTTTTACTATTAAAGTTTAATTAATTTTATAACTGTGGTTCCCACGGGTTATAAACTAGTATATCTTAATAATAAACTCCATTTTCAAGTTGCAAGCACCGATCTAGACTTGTATAATTTGTTATCATCATGCTCATAAATTTCCGTGAACATCCACTTATTATGCGGTGCTTTTTTCATATTAATCTTATCAAATGAATTCATCTCATCATTCTCAGTCGACAAAAAAATAGTTTGTTAATGGAGAGTATGTATCGGGAAGTCTTCTTTATCTAGTGGAGCTTCTAACAGTTTAGTGTTTGAATATATACACTTCATCAGTAGTTTTAAAACTCCTACTCTCCTTTGCGTTCTCGGTCTCTCTTATCTCTAAAGTAATTATAAGATACTTACTATTGAAAAAAGTGATATAGGGACATACATATCAGTATAAAACACTCCAACTTCCCAATCTTGGGTGACATTCTCATATTCATTAAGATAACATTTTTCTATTTGCCAAGGACACATGGCTCACATAAATCAAAATCTACATGCTTGAGTTATGGAATCCTACCTTTGTATCTAGTATCTTTATACATTTCTCACTCATATTCTCTGGTCTCTAGTGTCAAAGGGTAGATGTACCCATATCATTAACATCGTTTAGTCATGTGATCTACGTCCACAGAGAGTTTTTTTATTAACAAGCTTGAAAACCTAAAGTACAATAAAACCCTAACTATCAGTCGTATTATATATGCAAAGTACAACACTTAATCATAACCAGAATAAGGTCAGGCCTAGCTGTGTCGGGTTTCTTTACTTTGTTCCATTGGGTCAATATGCATTCGGGTCGTCACTTCTCAAGTTACATTTAACAAGTAGTAATTAGAACTATATGAACAAATCAATTACAAAGAAAACAAACATGAACAATCTTATAAGTTATCAATAACACTTGCAACAGACCATACGAGTAATTGACACAATAACCTGATCACATCCACTACATAGGTTGTGGTGGATAAAGAAGAGCAGCCTGTTCTTTCTGGTATGAAGAAAAAAAAAAGAACTAAAAAGTAGAAAATGTATTTGCAATGAACACTCTTATGTTTTGATTTTGTAGTAATTACAAAGATAGCATGAAAGGGATACTGGGATAGTATTAATACACCAATAGAAGGAGAAAAGCCGGTCAATATAGATTAATACACTAACATCTAATGACATTGGCATACAACCAACTTCACTAAGAGTAACGATCATATACAATATAGTCATACCCCATGTAATGTGTATTTGTGTGCTTTGTTGTGTTGTGGCCACTATAATACCCATGAAAGGAAAAGGCATACTCAAATATGATACAACTGACAAAAGCATGCAGCTTAATGATACATAATACACAAAAAAAACCACTAATGGTGTAGGAGAAGAATGTGTCAAAACTAAATATACATTACTATTTGGCATATGAATACATATTTCCTACCGAGGATCTAACAATGTTATAGTTGCTTCATCAACATCTGAAAAAGTGTAGTGCTGACGTGAACCTTCTTCAGCAAAGAAAGCAGGTTGTTTAGGTGGAGGTAGTGATCCCTCACCACCCAACATCATAACCACAGAGGACATAGTTGGTCTATCTTGTGCATGATTTTGTACACATAATAGCCCAACATGTATTGATCTTTTCACCTCTGAGATAATGCACGAGTTGCACAAAGATGGGCTCATTAGGTCAAGGTACTTGCCTTCTGTATATAGTCTCCATGCCTGAATGAAACCAAAAAGTTAATAAAATATTTTCAAAAGAAGATAATTAATCCATGAGATTTACTTACATGTCCAAGAAGGTTATCACTGAGATCTTCATGTGAGAATTCTCTGTTTTTCTTCCCACTCACTATCTCCAGCACCAAAACACCAAAACTAAACACATCTGATTTTATAGAGAAACGCCCGTGAAGTGCATATTCGGGTGATATGTAACCACTATAAAACACCAAAAAGAATGACAGATAAGAAAACGAACCCAATGGTGAACATTATTTAGATACTTACTATGTTCCAACCACTTTCTTCGTTTTGGCTGTAATCTGGTTTCCTTCAAACTCTCTAGCAAGGCCAAAATCTGATATTTTAGGGTTCATGTCATGATCCAACAGAATATTGGCTGCTTTGAGGTCTCTGTGTATGATTCGAAGGCGAGAATCTTGGTGGAGATAAAGCATTCCTCTAGCAATCCCATTGATGATGCAAAAACGTTGACCCCAATCAAGCATACAACTTTTGGTTTCATCTGCCAACACAAGATTACCATATAGATTTAGATTTAGATTTAACAGACTACTTTTACTTTAAAATGAAAATAATAGAATGATGAAAGAGCTGAACCGAATAGAAGTAAGTCCAGGCTTTTGTTAGACATGTATTCATAAATCAGGATCCTTTCATCTCCATCCATGCAGTATCCAACAAGCTTCACAAGATTCCGATGTTGAAGTTTAGCAACACAAACAACTTCATTGTAGAACTCATCATAACCCTGTTCAGAAGTTCTAGAAAGTTGCTTCACAGCTATCTCTTGTCCGGTTTCCAACACTCCCTAAAGATTATGGTCAGGAATATGATCAGCTTTACTTTTTCTGTTAACTGAGCAAAGCTATAATTCAATGCAAGAACTTACCTTGTAAACAGGACCAAAGCCACCTTCTCCAAGCTTATTGTCTATTGAGAAGTTATTGGTAGCCTTGGTTATTATAGATAAGCTAAAAAAATTCAGCTCTAGATCTTCCTTCTCTACATCTGAATTATGTCTATCAATGGAGTGTACCCTTCGACCTAGAAAGTGATATGTTGTATTATTAATATTATATATATATATATATATATATATATATATATAAGAGAAACAAGAAGATGTACTCTTCCGCATGGTTTACATTTTTTCTGAATAAAAGAATCATTTATTAAAGCATTGAAGTGACTCATTTGCCTTACCTCTTGCTTTCATGTAAGACCTTTTCTTTTTCATGCTGAAAACATACACTGCTACAGACAGGCAAATCAAGACAGCTAAAATTGGCAAGACTATGGTGAGTACTTGAATCTTGCTATTGAAATCAGGTTGGGGAACTGTAGGACCTTCATTTACAAAATGTAATATGTTTAGCAAACAGTTTATTCATTGTAAAGGGAAGAGGTAGTTTGTGGTATCAAGTTTATTCATTAGATTCCATAAAACCTAGACTAAAAACATGCACCATTCTGAAGAAATGTGTTTACCTGTTAGTAGGGATGCAGGCATTCTTATGTAAAGATCTTGATTCTCTGCAATGACCTTAAGATCCATCAGTTCACCAAACCATAGTAAGCATCCACTTCCCCCTTTTCTGATATCTAAATTTGCATAAGCTGTACAAGAACAATTTTTCTTGCAGGCTATCTCACACTCGCCAAGTGTCATGCTCCTATCGTACCATGAATATCGCGTGTCAGGAAATTTCATTTTAGTAACTTTCTGAAAGGCATCCCCACCCTTACAATCTAAAGGACTTTGGAGCTTACACCCATTAGACCAGTCTGCTATGTTCCATTGTTCTGGTTTTTTTGGTTCAAAACCTTCCATACAACTACAGGGAGGATTTCTGTTGATGTTACAGCTTCCATAAGGACCACAGATTCCATAGCGACCACAACTATCAATCAGACCACTTGTATACACAACCCAATTTTGACTTCGATTGTTCCAATGCCACATTGCTATGCTTCCATCCCATTTCAAACGTATCAACTGAACAACTGAAGTCTTAAGTTCAAATATATAATATGCTTCTTTCTGGTTGACAACAAAGTCAACCCAGTAAATTGGATTCGGCATCTCATTAGGCAAACCACTAAACCTGATGCCATTCCATGGTCCAAATCTTACATTTATAACTAAACCTTGCATCAAAAATATTTGTGGATATCCATTTGTATCTACATAATCTACATACTGACCTGGAGAAGGGTCATTGGGACCTTTCCATGATGTCAAGGTCCTGTTTATGCCTGTTACAAAGTCCATACCAAGTTTCATTCCAGCTAACAAAGTGTCACCAGGATAATCAAAACTTTGCCATAAGAAATTTGACTTATTAGAACTACTACTACTACCATCTTTTACAACAAAATTTCCAGTATCCAAAAGTTGTGCCACTGGATTGTTATTATACCTGACAAACGCGGAGGAATTGGATGACCAAATTAGGGTATCGCCACAGCAGGAAAGCAACAGGTGTCCCTTTCTATTGATTTTGAGGGTGCCTGTTTTATTAGGTATCGGAAACTCTCTGTTAGCAACCCATACCACTGTACCCGTTGATATCTTCTTGAACCATATTCCCAAGTATCGATTGTTGGAGTTAGCGGGGCTAAAGAAGCCGAGTTCATACATTTCTCCAGTTGAAACGATGGTCTCACCATCTTTGACGCCTTGATTTGCAGCTATGATGTTTACTGCAACAGAAATTGGCAGGAGCAAGAACAATGACATGGCGAACAATAAACTTGTGAAAAGGCCTTCCATTAACGATTTTACTGTTGTTCCTCAAGAAAATGTTGTCTGGCGTGGAGCGAAGACATAATAGGACCCAATAATTGTGATTGCGATGCCATTTATTGCCAAGGAACAAAGGCGGCCAAAAATAAATTTGTTTCTATTAAAAAAAATGCGTCTTGGAAATTTAAAGACTTCAACTTTACGGTTGATAGTACATGTTCTTACCTGTGTTTTGATCTACAGATGATTGAGCATATCTAATTCTCATTGAACTGTTCAAATTGAATACTTTAGATACTCTGTTCAAACTTCAAACCCTACAAATCAATCCTCTTTGCACTTTGAAAATAAATATCAGTAATTTGAAAATAAATATCAGTAATTTAAAAACTACATCTGAACTTTCTGAACTTTGCTGCAGTTAGCCGGTTTTGATCGATTTACAATGACGCTGTGACATCCTGAATTTTTAGAGTAAGTTACATAAATCGTCCCTATGATTTTGGATAATATGCAGGTTTCATCCCTAATTTTCTTTTCACTTGAAGGGTCCATGATAGGTTCAGTTGTGGTCTCCATCCCTCCCATTGACAGCGTTTACCTTTTCCGTCTATGTCATAGGTTCTATTATCTTTGACGAAAAAAAAATCAATGCCTTACCTTTTATATGTAAAAAGCATGCATTTTTTTTTTGAAAAATCAATGCCTTACCTTTTATATGTAAAAAGCATGTTTTTTTTTTTTTTTTTTTTTTTTTCTTCCTGTTCGAGGTGAATTTAATTCTCATTTGCTATTTTTTTTACAAAACTGCAAAATTGGTCCCTGTGGTTTTTGAAAAAATTTGGATAAAATCCAAAAAGTTTCCGACTTGCATTGAAGGTACAAAATTAAGATTTTTCCGTGGTTTTGGTCATCAAAAAGTTGAAATGACTATTTTGCTCTTATTATTTCTATTTACATTTTCTTATTTCTTTTAATATTTAAATAATTATTTAAAAAAGAAAAAGAATAAAATGGGTCCACCCCCACTAATGCTCTCTCTCTCTCACACACGCATACATACACACACGAGAATTTTCTCCTCGGATCTTCTTCCCCACCTTTCATCTTCAACCCATCTTGTTGTATCTTCCATAATTCAGAAAACATGGCTCAAAAGCTCTGATGGGCATTTGTTGAAATTTCTCGGCGCTTCCGCTTCACGACGGTGTTTTCAATGGGCGTCCATATCTTCCATAAATCGGAAAACCAACCACCATCGCCACCTGTTGAAACCACTGAAACCACAGGTATGACACCTGCCTCAAAATGGGCATCTAAAGATCTCTACCACTAGCTATATTTGCCAGAGAGAGGGGAGGGGTTGCTGGTGGACTGAGCCATTGTCGCCGGATCTGTGTCAAACAACCTTCATCTGGTAAGACTCCTCTGAAATTGCACTAGGAGATCAAAAACACCACAATGAAGCCATAAGTGTCGTGATCAGCTTTAATCCTCCGATAGCTTCTGTAATTTGATGAACCTCGATTATAACCTTATGAAATTGCACCGAGAACCCTCATCGACCACCAGTGGGTTTTCCAATTCCTTGCACCTTCGATCCCATCAATTTTGATTTTTTAGCATTTGATTTTTTAGCATTTGATTTTTATTTCCCGAATCATGATGTTTTTTCATCACCATCATCCTACTCGGTTTTGATTTCAAGTATCGAATATGGTTTTGATTTTAGGTTTTAATTTATGATTTTGATTTTAGGTGGAGGATGGCAGCAATGATTTTAGCTTGAGTTCAAATCCAGATCCAAATCTTGACGTTTTCTCTTTAGATCTTCTATCGGTTCCTCCAACTATCGATTTGTGTGTGTTTATCTTAATCGACAATCCTAAAATACCCAGAAATTGATTTGTTTCTTCCTGATGCCATCGATTTGAGATATAACAGATTCGTCTCCATGGAAATAACTCCTATATTTGCAATATATATATATATATATATATATATATATATATATATATATATATATATATATATATAGATTATTAAGGAGTATATACAGAGGAAATGTTTGTGTGAGATTTGATTTGTAGTTGAGAATGAGAAAGAAGACGATGGGAGAGAGAGTCAAGAGAGTCTGATGGATAGATGGGAGAGGGTTACCGGTGAGGTGGGGGTGGGGTGGGGTGGGTGGGATTTTATTTTTTATTTTTTTATAATTAATGAAATAGTAAAATAAATCAATAAAAATGTAAAAAAGAAATAATAAGGGCAAAACCATCATTTTAAGTTTTTTTTGGACCAAAACTACAGAAATTTCTTAATTTTGGGACCAAAATCACGAAAAAAGAATCTTGATTTTGGATCTTTCATGCAAGTTGGAAACTTTTTGGATTCTATTCACGGTTTTTCTAAAACCACACGGACCAATTTTACAGTTTTGTCTTTTTATTATTTTTTTTATTTATCTTTTAGGAGACATCAATTTACATCTTTATGTCATTTGTTTTTTTAAAGTATCCGAGAGGTTGACACTTTTGAAGATTTTTTTCTTATTTTCATTTATGTACTAATATGTACTAAGGTGCTGTTTGTTTTAAAAAAAAAACATATTCAGACCATTTTTGTTGTGCGGCGTAGCACACACGCAACACTTGCCCTTTTACAGCAGTTTTTTTTGGAAGGCTTCAGACTACAAAATATCTGCGCGGCGCAACACTTGAGTTGTTTCTTCAAACCTCTTCAGCTTTCATTTTTTCTAAATGATTTTTTTAGAAATTTGGTATAACTTATTTTTTTTTAAACTTTGATTTTTTAAACTTTGATTTTTTTAAACATTGATTTACGGATTAATACAAAATCTTTTTATGGTTTCCACAATTTTTTATAACTTGATTTTTAAAAATAAAACTTTGATTTTTTCAATTTTTTTTACCATTTCTGTTAATAATATTTTCAGTTTCGGATGTATTTTTTTTTAACATGTGTAATTCTTTTACGAACTTTGTAGACATTGTTTGCAATGTTTTCTTAATTTATTTATTTATTTATTTTATGTTTTTGAAAATTAGTTTTTTTCTAGAATAAAATTGATAGCTTATTTTATATTTTTTAAGATTTTTTTTTTAATTTTATATTTTTGTTTTTTTACATGTTCTTTTTAATATTCTTTCAATATTTTAATACTAGAATTATTAAAATTTCAGTGTTAAGAACTATTTTCAGTTTATAAATGTAACATCTATTTTTCCAGGTATTTGCTTTTAGATCCTTGAGTTATGAATTATTTGCAAAGTGACTCCCCAAGGGTAATTCCATGATTTTGGGTGCAGCTTGAGTACGATGGGCGTACACCTTGGTATGCTGAGCATACTAAGCCCCGAGTCAGTACGTTGCGCGTACTATTGTACGTCGGGCGTATGTGATTTAGACGAAAACCCTAATATTTAAGGTTTGTTCACTATTTAAGCATCATTATAGCCCCAAGACCTTTCCCTTTATCAACCTCCATCCCAAGATTGACCCCCCTTGCAAACCCTAGTTCATTTTGAGCATTTTGAGCTTTTGGAGTGAGTTGTGTCTTCTTTGTTTGTGAAGAAGGACCGTCAACGAGTAGGTTTTGCTCTCAAGACTTTTGATCTAACATCTTCTCCTCATTGTGCACCATTTGGAGGTATAAAGCTCCAAACTTGGCTTATGTTTCTTTAGATCTTAGTTAAGCATTGATTTTCTTCATTTTTGTCCCAAAACCAAGAGCTTGGTGAGTAAGAGGTACTTCAAAGCCTTCAAGGTGTCATTTCAGACGTTTTAAGGCATTTTAAGTCATAAAACGAAGAAAATGTTTTTCATTGATTATTACACTTGGGATGTCATAACTGATACAAAACATAGACATAAACATTATTGGCCTTACATTAACTTATTGTATTAATTGCCTAAACTCCTCGAATCTCTCTGTGGATTGTACCTTCATATTGTTTCCCGTGGTTCAAAGAAACTGAGTGGGCCAGGTTGGGAAACCTAGTGAGCACATATGGTTTTCAACCAACAATATTGTAATTATATATTTTTCACATTAAACAAATAATCCCGATTACGCGTTCCTGTTATTCTTACTCTCAAATCCCTAATGCTAATCTCAAGAGACCTACCCTAAAGGATCTCTGTGAGTAGACAATACTGCTTCGGGGATTCCATAGCAATATGTATCAATAAGGCAATCCTAAGGGGGATAGTGTACCCAAACAAACAACTTTCATTTTCCCTGAAAAGTATGATTGTTAACACCTACAGGTGGAGAACCTGCTAGTGTTCCACCAAACTACCTAAAATAGTCAATGGTCGTCACATATACTCTGTTAGATGAATGGTCCCGATAATACAATGTGTGACCTCTCACCATTATTTCATTTTCCCAAAAACTCGTTACTACCCAACCCATTATTTTATCTTTCCCAAAACCCTTCACTACCTAATACGAATATGATAAAGTAAATTTATAAAAATAAAATCATATTATAGCGCAAATATCAAGTACACAGATAACAAGCACATATAACATTTTAATAGATACTTCATATCTATGTATAAGTTGAAAGTAACTATGTATTCACTTGATAAAGTGGATGACTGGTGATTTGGGCAGAGCTTCTCCTAACACCTTGACTTTTCCCCTTGACGTGACCTAGATATGATTATTACTTAGTCTTAGTCTGATATTCCTTATGTCTAATGATAGTCTAGATTCCTCAACAATCTCAATGTCTATATCAAGATCTATCAAGTAAGGAACAACTAGGTAGAATCATATCGGAGGTAGGGTCCGTTTGGTATTACATAGTATACTGTTTGGAAATCCCACTTTAAACACCTCACTAAATCCAGCCTAGACATTATCCCCATAAGTAGATCAATCAGTACAATGACTTGGAATTACTGATAAATCTTAATTATAGGTTTAAAATAACGACCATGACTATAATTAAAAGTTACACTTGAATAAAATAAGTGTAGCTTAACTTAAAAAGTTTCTAGAGAAAACTGGGAAATTGTGCGGGCAGAATCTCGATTTGAAAGCTCTGTATCTCAGACGCTTCAGGGTCTCGCTAAAGTAGCCACAAACTAGAAAGTATCGGGACTAATGGTGGAAGGTATTCCAGAGGATTTTGGGAGAAAAGTGTGAGAAAATGAGCTGCATTTCGAAGGTTTATATAGGGATGAAAAACAGTACACGCTGCACATTGTTTGTGCGCGCCGCACAATTTGTCGGAAGAGGTGATGTAGCAGCTTCTGAGTGGTAACACGTGTCGAATTCTTGTGGCTTGTCAGATGCCCGCCACACATGATGTCGTTGCGCGCAGAGAATTCTTATTTCGTTAACATTCATATCTTCTCCGTACGAGCTCCGTTTTCGACGCATTTTATATCCATACGTAGCTATCAACGAGATCTACAACTTTAATTAAACTCTGTCGAATAATTTTGATTTTATTTTTGAAGTTATATTTTTAACAGGCTTAGACTGTTAAAGTCCGTTAAAAATTCAAACTCTCTTGTTTGATGTCCGTTCTCGGCTGTCTTTATAATGACAGACTCCTATTAACGAGATCTTCGATTCTCATTTTGATTGTTTTTCCTAACAATAGACCGATTTCAATTTCGGTTTTTGAGTCGAATATTGCTACACTGAAACTTCAAAAAATCATAACTTCCTCATATGAAGTCAGATTTGGGCGTTCCCCATATGCACGCTCTCGATTTTATGATTCCTATGACTTTTTCTTTGATTATTTATCCTAAATAATCTTCTATCAAAATATATGTTTATAGTTGTGACAAACAAATGTCCTATTATTCTTTAATCGTCTATCCCTATAATGCGGGTGTTACAATTGCCTTCATGATTCTAGTGAATGGCGGGTGTTTCAGTATTCTCCGATGGTGTTGCACCCATATTGGGAAATGACTAGACAGGGATGGAGGGAGGGTTCTCCGATACTCTAGTCATATGCGGTTCATGTTTGTGGTTTTCTTTAATGCTCCCAAGGATGGCACCAATGATGAATAATTTGCTTCACAAAGGAATCCGTGAGTAGAAAAGAGCTCTAATATTTGACATTGGAGTCACCTCAATAAAATGGTTAGAACTTAGACGTATTACAGTCTGTTTAAATCAATATGTTATAGGAGAGAATAACAAAGAAAGAGAGAGCGACATATTTTAAAATTTATAACGTTCTTACATCTTTGGTGTCTCCTTTTTGGCATTTTTAAATTGCGGTATACTCCCTTAGGGTATACAAGTGCAATTAGGTTTACAGTCTCATTGTTAGGCTAAGAGTACCTTGTGTCGATTAGTTAGTTAGTTAGTTGAAATGAGCATCGAAGGTTGGGCTAAGATTAGGTTCGAGAACATGGATAGAAAACACCCATGAAGAGCTTGTGCTTTAGCAGCTCGACCAACCTTGGAGAATAACATGCTGAGGACCATCCACTAAGGCTTGCCAAGCCGTCGATACTCTAGTTTTACATGAGTGTCTCTTGTATGTCTTCTCGAACCTTCAATGCTCATTTCAACAAACTAATTGGCTTGCATTGGAATATAAGGTACACTTAGCCCAACCACGACCTAAAGATGTTAGAAATTTGGCGTAAAACAGCAGTTGGAAATTCTGAAAATTGTGTAATCACTTTCAGATTGAAGTATTTGGGTGGTACTCCCAGTCTTCAAACGGATAAGACTCAGAATGATGACAGAATAGAACAGAGAATGAGATGTATAAATTTCACGAATACAAAAAATATGACCAAAAAAATGGTTAAGTACCTTTCTCATTAGAAAACTGTCACAAGACACTTTTATGTCTGAAAAACTGTCACTAAAACAGTTTTATGTCTAAAAACTGTCATTAATTCGGGTTCTTTCTATAAGGGTAAAAAACAAAGTCAAAATCGGGTTTATTTTCAAGAATTCAGATTTATGATGCATTTTTAATATAACAATATAACCCAAATAAAAAAATTCGCCTTAACCTCGCAGCTCGACCCTGGCTCCGCCCCTTGGATCCCGCTCACAGGGGCGCTGCCCCCGAACCCCCGTTCGTTCCGAGGCTTCGCCCATAAATGACAGTCTACTTTGAATCTTGAATTAACTTCAACAAGTGTACACTCCACACCTTCCTTACTTGTTTAATATTCATCAAGATTGATTTTGATCAACAAGTCAATCCATTATACTTAAATACACATTGATGATACAAATTACCAATAAAAGACTCATGCACGGTTGGCAATTGGCAATATCCTAACTGCGTTCGTATACCCTCTTGTATACCATGTGGGAATATACCACAGCTTATAAATACCAAAGAGGTCAAGCAAAACGGGTTAGAACGTTATAAATCCTAAATTCTGATTCTGATTCTCTGTTATTCTCTCCCACAGTGTAGTGACTTAGCCATCAAAGTGTATCCTCGGCTCCCGATTCGAGATACGGCTAACCGATTTCCTTTCAGGGATACCAACATCAACGATCATAGCTCTTTCCCAGTCTTAGGTTCCTTTGTGAAGTGAGGTATTCATCATGTAGTAAGTCATCGAACATTTTATAAAATACTTAAAACATATTTCTTGCAAGCTCAAACACATACTATCAATCTATTTGTATAACCATAATGAGCAAAGGCTATTTCACCGATTGCTAATTGCAGAGCACGGGAATTTAATACAAGACCGAAAACAAATTTACTTCAATTTTTATTGACCGGATGGAGTAATCCAAAACTATGTTCAGGAGTTAAAGCTGAATTTATATTGTATGGTTTATGAACTTTGAAAGAAACAAAAAATCATTCTATCGACCTGTCAATGATGAGGTGATATCAACAACAGAAGATTGTTGTGTGGTGAGTGCAAGCGGGTGGAGATCAGGCTCGGTGAAAAAGGCAGGTGGTTTAGGCTGAGGCAAGACACCATCATTACCAAGCATCAACACTACAGATGACATTGTCGGCCTATCTTCTGGCTGATTCTGCACACATAACAGACCAATGTGTATTGACCGGAGTACCTCCAAGATGATGCATGACTCCCTTAAGGATGGACCAACCACATCAAGACTCTTGTCATCTTTATACAGTCTCCATGCCTGAGTGATATCAGATGTCGTAAATCGCAAGTATATACAATCGATAATCACACACAATAGTCAATCATAATAGCAGGAAACCCAAAACATCATTTTTATTAAACTTACATGTCCAAGAAGGTTGTCGCCATGTTCTCGAGAAGTGAATTCTCGGTTTTTCATCCCACTTACTATTTCCAGCACCAAAACACCGAAGCTAAATACATCTGATTTTGTGGAGAAAATGCCGTGAACTGCATACTCTGGAGGGATGTAACCACTGTAAAGAATCTGACAGATCAGTTGATATGGGGATATATCTGAGAAGTTAAATTTAAGTGGTTTCTGATTCTTACTAAGTTCCAACCACATTCTTTGTGTTAGATCCAGTTTCGTATCCTTTAAATCTTCTAGCCAGCCCAAAATCTGATATCTTTGGGTTCATGTCATTGTCCAACAAAATATTACCAGCTTTAAGATCCCTATGTATGATACGAAGGCGCGAATCTTGATGCAGATAAAGAAGTCCTCGTGCAATTCCATTGATGATGCGGAATCGGTGATTCCAATCAAGCATTGAACTTCTGGTCTCATCTGCATGAAATTAACACGTGTCCAGTAGACATCCAAATAAAGATTTGAACGGAGTATATCATAAGAAGAGTTCTTACCAAATAAAATTTGATCTAGGCTCCTGTTGGGCATGTATTCATAAATCAACATAAATTCATTTTTTTGAGCACAGAATCCCAGAAGTTTTACAAGATTTCGATGCTGAAGTCTTTGGATACATCTAACTTCATTTGTAAACTCAACAAGCCCTTGTGTAGAAGTTTCAGATAGCCGCTTTACAGCTATTTCTCGCCCATCTTCCCTTACACCCTAAAGATTAGAGAGATAGTCATCAGCATTATCGTGTACTCCTGCTTCTAGAACATAAATAACACAGGTATATATTGATATGTTACCTTGTAAACTGGACCAAATCCACCTTGTCCAAGCTTATTATCAATCGAGAAGTTATTGGTTAACTTAGATACTTCAGAAAAACTGAAAAAGGGCAAGTCTACATCATTGTTTTGGCCTCCCCCTGTATAGTCTTCACAAAGGGTCTTCACCAGAGTACCTAAAATGTGATACATCCGACTGTTAAAAGGTGGACACTTGCACATTCTTGTTGTGCTTGCTCTTTTTCACAAGTATAAAATAGGACTCAGTTGCATTACCTTGACTTCGTGCATAAGACCAATTTTTCTTCCAAACATACCCCACCACAGCTAGGCATATCAGAATAAAACCAAACGAAGTTGAAAGGGCCACTTTGATTACTTTTTTCTTGTTAAAGCCAGATTTTACGCCTGTAACATCGTAAATGCAAAAAAATCAACACATGAAAGAAAGATGTGACAATAAATTATGTTTCTGTGAAAGAGAAATAAAAAAATTTATGCACCTGTTAACTCAGATGCGTCCATTCTTATGTAAAGATCTTGATCTTCATCAGCTTCTCTGATATCCATAAGATCATTAAACCATAGCAAACATCCACTTCCACCTCTTCTAATATCCACATTTGCATAAGCTGTACAAGAACAATTCCTCTTGCATGCCTTTTTACATTCTCCAAGGTTCATGCTCAGATTGTACCATGATTGCCTGGTATCCGGAAATTTCAAACCTGAAATCGCCCGAAAACCATCTTCATTCCCACATTTTAGTGGTTTTTTACGTTGACAGCCACCTGACCAATCTCCTGCATTCCATTCTTTTGGGTGTTTTGGTTCAAACCCTTCCATACAACTGCAAACAGGTGAACTGTTTATGTTACAGCTTCCATATGAACCACAGAGTCCATATGGTGCACATATGTCAACCGTTGCAGCCAAATATGGGACCCATCCTTGGGTCGGATCATTCCAGTTTAACCTCATTTCATGGCCTTCAGGACCAATAACAACCCTTGAAAGAAATGAGGTATTAATAAGATAAAATATAGAATACACCTCCTTCTCATTCATAACAAAGTCATATGTGTAGATAGGATTTGGCTTGCTAGGAAAACCATTTACCCTAACACCATTCCATGGTCCAAATCTTAGTGTTATAACTGAACCTCGTCTCTGAAATGCTTGTGGATATCCATTTGTATCCCAGTAACTTACATACAGACCTGGAGAAGGATCATCTAGACTCTTCCAAGATGTCAAGCATCTGTTTATTCCTGTAATAAAATCCTTCCCGAATTTCATTCCAGATAGCAAGGTGTCAGTAGGGTAATCAAAACTTTGCCAGATAGGATCTTCGTCTGTGCTACTCATGTTATCATGCACAACAAGGTTTCCTGAATCTAGAAGCTTTGCGACTATATTAATATTAGTGACAGATAATGAGGAATTTGACGACCAAATCAAGGTATTATTACCATTGAGAAGCAGCAGTGTTCCCATCCTATTGACTCTGAGCACACCGGAGGTATCAGTAAGTGGAGTCTCTCTGTTAGCAACCCATACAACTGTCTGAGGAAAAATCTTTTTATACCATATCCCCAAGTATCGATACCTGGAGTTACCGGGGGTAAAAAATCCGAATTCATACATTTCACCATCTGAAACAAGCGTATCATTGTCTCTTATTTCTTTATCTGTAGTTATGGTGTCTACTGCAGCAGAAATTGTCAAAAGTAAGAATAAAACAGTAGACAAGAACAGAATATTTTGGAAAGTTCTCATTGATGTGTTTTGCAGCCTTCTGTTAATTTCCTGGAAGATTTTGGGGTAAGAAATAATAAGACCGGGATCAATTATTTGAATAGAATTGGCTCTTTGGATAATATCTAATAGAGGTTGTGGAAAAGTGTCATTAATGTGTTTTGCAGCCTCCCACTTCATGGAAGACTAGTTTACCGTGTAGGAAATGATAAGCTCTCAATTATTTGATTAGAACTGTCTCTTTTTCAGTTGAAGGTAGTCAGGAACATAGACCCACTAAAAAATTAAATGTTCTCCTGCCTTAAAAACCATTTCTTTAAGCATGGCAATAAATACTAGAAGGCTTGTGTCTTCCTCTTTGAGATAGTTGCCCCGCATGTGGGAATCCATAAGAGAGGTCTCAGGTTCAAACCTTGGCATCAGCTTTCTATGTTGGTTGTGGGACCTGTTGTACATGTTTTCCTGGCTTTGACAGTGGATCTTTTCCTGAAATTTGATATTGAAATCATTTTGTTATTCTATTTGTTAAAGCAAATGTACATCTTGACATATGATAGATAAATCTTGTTGGTTCATCAAAAAATTTGAATTTGATAGCATATCTTAGGTTAAAACTGTCATTTGTAGTACTTATCACAATTGCAATGCTGTGATATATCGGTGTGTTGTTTGAACATCAGAAACATTCAACTAAAATTTGAGTTAAAAGATGAGCTTTTTAATCACTTGAAGTCAATTAACCTTAGATGTGTTAACTCAACCTCAAAGTCATGTATCTGAAAGCATTGTTAAATTATTTACTTTTTTATCTGGATTCTAAACAAACTATGTGCAGTAACTATAGATTGCAAATTTTCAAACTTAACAATGTGCTCACAGAATGTGAATGTATATCTAAATTTATATAAAAAAAAATGTTCATCGGGTAGTTTCTCCACTCCACACAAAATAAGGATAATCTAACTTTTAAAAAAAACATTCATGTGCATTCCCCATATATTTGGATTAGCAGTATCAACTGCAAACCATTTAATGTAATCATCAAATATTCAAATTCATATCTGCCATTGACGTATTAATTATTTGTTATACCATCACTTTCCCCAAATTTGCAAATCAATTATCTAGGTTATGACTTACGAGGAACAGAAAATAGCATGATATTTAACTCAGTTCGAAACAAAACTAAGTTTCTTGAAATTCTTACATTCGTAGTAATAATTATGTCAAAAACCTAATTCAACACTCCAGTTCAAAATTGAGACATTGAAAGTTGAAACAACAACGAATAATTAAAAGACTCGAAGAAGGAAGAACTGACCGCAACAGAAGATATAGCGGTGGTGGTGCTGACGAGGAATTAAGTGGCGACAGCGACCGTAGAGTTGAATTTTGTTTCTATTGGAGTACAACTGAATTCAACTAACTCATCCGTAAAATATCAGCAAACGCCGTTAATTTGTGGTTGAAGAAGTGGAAGAAAATTATTAACGTCGTTGGCGGAGTTCATACACAAGTTGACAACTTGGGTGGTCTACCAAGTGATCGTTTGTCAACCAAAAATAAATGATTTCTTCGTAAAGTTTCTTTTAAAAAATATAAAAAATATTATATTATATTATATTATATTATAAATATCAGACTAGAAAATTCATTATCGTAAACTATGTGGTACCAAAGTGTAAATTATATACCTATATATACATATTATTAATTAATGCAATATAAGATTGGAGTGTTAATTACCCTAGCCGCACTATTTTTTTTTCTCTTTCTCCTAAAACCTTCAATCGCACATTCTCCCTGTCGCATCTCATTCTTCTTGTTTTTTTTTCTTTCTATCCTACTCCATCGACAACCTTCAGTACCTGTTGATTTTCTGCTCCTATTCCAATCAATTAATGGCTTCATTACATCCTGCTGTTACTGTCACAAACATCAGGAACTTCATCCCAATCCTTCTAGAGAAGGATGACGGGCAAAACACATCATGGGTTGAATTATTCAATATTCACTATCGGGCACACGAAGTCATTCATCATATTCTACCACAGGAAGCTTCTCCCTCTAAAAGACAAAGCTAAGGAAAATGTAGATGTTGTGGCCCTTCACAAACGTCTGGATTCCATTGTCCTCCAATGGATTTACAGTACGATTTCAAAAGATTTGTTAATTACCATTCTAAAACCTGATTCCACAGCCGAACAAGCCTGAAAATCGTTGGAAAACATCTTCATTGACAGTACCTAGAAAACAAGTTCAACAGTGTCTAATGTTTCTGCTTATTGTCAAGAACTCAAAACCTTGTCTGATCAACTCACTAATGTTGATGCCCCGGTTTCTAATGATCGTCTGGTTCTTCAATTAATCAACGGGCTTGGAGACAAATTTGAAAGCCTTGCTACTATACTCTAACAATCTACACCTCTACCAGATTTCTACACCGCCCGATCAAAACTAATCCTGGAAGAAACCCGCAAGAATCATAATTTCAGCACCATCCTAAGTGCAACCACCTCCAAGGCATCGACCGATACAACAACAGCCGCCTTGAATACTTAGACAACAGCCACCACTGACCGGCGACACCATCCACTACCAACCGAACAACGGTCCGGTAGTAGTAGTGTGCGTGCGCGGTCAGTTCGAACAATTTGACTATGGTGGTAGGGGTCGGCACAATGGTAGAGGGGGTCGGGGACGCGGTCGGGGTCGGGGTCGGGGTCGCGGACGTGTAGCACATTTTCATCAAAATTACTATCCGCAACAACCGACACTCAGATGGAATGCCCCTTGGCAACCACAACAATGGAACTTTCCACCCGCACCATACCCTACGAACCCGGTGAACAAATATCAAAATAGAAATCCTAACTTTGCAGGTGTTCTTGGCGCTAATCCATACGGCTATGCAGCTTCTGAGCAATCATATACCCCAGCCAACATTGACCAGGCGATGCATACTATGACATTAAACCTGGACCAGAACTGGTATCTCGATTCCGGCACTACCAACCACATGTCGAATACAATAGGTAACATTTCTAATTATTTCAATAATGGTATACAAAACAATATCATCGTTGGCAACGGTTCTCAAATACCCATCCAAGGAACTGGTCACACAACCCTACAACCACCTTACCCTCCTTTAAAACTTAATAATATCCTTCATGCACCTAAACTGATCAAAAACCTACTTTCAGTTCGGCGTTTAACAACCGATAACCCCATTTCTATTGAATTTGATCGTTTTGGTTTTTTTGTGAAGGACTATCAGATGCGGATCCTATCCTTCGAGGTGACAGTGCTGGAGAACTCTATCCCCTCTCACTACCTTCTGCTCAAGTCACACCACCTTCTACTGTACTGCTTTGACACAAGATCTTTGGCGTAAGCGTTTGGGCCACCCTAGTTCATCTTTATTGAGAGTCTTAAATAAACACAATTTCATTTCTGTTAAGACTTTTTTAGAAAAACATTTATGTCAATCGTGTGTTTTTGGTAAACATATCAAATTACCGTTTTACGATTTTGTTTCTGTTACGTGTTTACCGTTTGATATTATACATAGTGATTTATGGACCTTCCCAGTTCCTAGTTCAGGGGGTCACCATTATTATATCCTATTTCTCGATGATTATACAAACTATCTATGGACATTCCCACTCATAAAAAAGTCACATGTCTACTCCACTTTCTTAAATTTCTACAAGCTCATTAACACACAATTTGAACGAGAAATTAAAAGTTTTCAGTGCGATAATGGAACTGAGTACAACATTAAATCGTTTCATGATTTCTGTACTCAACACAGGATGGTTTTCAGGCTCTCTTGCCCTCACACACCCTCTCAAAATGGAAAGCTGAACGAAAAATTTGATCAATAAACAACATTTTTCGTACCTTTCTTACCCACGCCTCTCTACCACCAACTTTTTGGCATCAAGCCCTACAAATGGCCACCTACATTCTCAACATCCTACCATCCAAAACCAAAAACAACTCCACCGCAACACTACTTCTCTACAACAAACATCCCACATACACCCACCTATGAACGTTTGGTTGTCTTTGTTATCCTCTTATTCCCTCTACTTCAATTCACAAACTTGAAAACCGATCCACACCGTGTGTATTTCTCGGGTACCCCTCCAACCATATGGGGTATAAATGTTATGAACTCTCCACCAGAAAGATAATTATCTCTCGTCACGTTCTTTTTGAAGAAAATGTTTTCCCATTTGCCAACCTTCACTCCTCGCCACCTTCCTATGACTTCCTTCACTTAAACCAATCCAGTGATCTTCATCACTGTATCTGGGAATCCGTCACCACTATCTCACCAACACACACGCCTCCTCCCACTCCTCCAATACCACAAACCGAAACCACCACAATCACTTGCTCATGCTCACGCTCAACCAACATCCACCCTCAAAACCTACACCCGCCGAAATAAACAATCAGAACCTCACCCCACCCCCTAACTGAAACCTAACTGCCCCTACCATCACAACCAGCACCATCATCCACCAAGCATGTCCCTAATCCACCACTGCCACCTACCCGTACCATGTGCACACGTAGAATGACCGGCTCATACAAACCGAAACAAATGTTTACTCTCCATACTTCTGCACCTTTCGAGCCACTCACCCGCACCACGACCGAAGCCCTTAACAATCCCATTTGGAACTGTGCCATGACCGATGAGTATAATGCCCTTATTGATAATAATACATGGGAATTGGTACCGATGCGTCCAAACATGAATATTATCAAGTGCATGTGAATTTTCAAACATAAAACCGGATCTGACGAATCACTTGAGCGCTACAAAGCGCGTTTGGTTTGTGATGGCAGGTCACAGTAGGTTGGAGTTGATTGCGACGAGACGTTCAGCCCAGTTGCTAAACTGGCGAGCATTCGAACAATCCTCAGCATTGCGTTATCTCGCCAGTGGGAAATTAATCAACTGGATGTTAAAAACACTTTTCTACACGAACATTTAGCAGAAA